TTACAAAGTTTTTTCTGGGAGAAAGTCAAGCTGACCCCCACAGAGGGTAGACTGGAGAAAGGCACTGACCCTCTGTGGATTAAWGGTCACATCCTCTTGAGATTCTGGTTGTTTCTCTGCACGCCACCCAGCATGATTCAAACTACCTTCCCCTAAACCTGCCAAGCGGGTTGGGGTTTTACAACCGGGTCACCAGTAATGGCTCCCAAGAGGGTATGCTGTGAGATAAATGAAAAAAGAGAGCATGCCATTTCCAGTTTTATAAAGCTTTTTTCACTTTTTCTCCCTAYTGAGAGGCCCCTTTTCATGGAACACCACACTTTAATCACCACCACATTTATCAAATGAAGCAAACATTATGTTATACAAGCATTAASTAATGAAATTTTAAGTACCTAATGAAGCACCTAGCTAACGAACTTCATAACACTCAAATGGCTTTTTCCCTGCCTCTTCAGTCCTAGACACAAGGTCACTTAGAAAAGCCACAGCCTCCTAACTACAGCAGCAGAGGCTCAACAGCACACAGCTCCRGACTCAGCACCTGATCAGCCTGGACAATAAAAAATAAACCAGTGTGCCTACTATCACACAGCTTCTTTCCACGTATACCAGGGCAAAGGTACAGCGCCAGAGCAGTAACACGTCACGTTGACTTTTTGCTGTCCAGAGCTTCCAGACCCTGAAGAGGTCTTTACACCCCCTTTGGGTACTTCTGGGAGCAAGGGGCACACAGAACTACCCACTTCTTCTAAGCACTTGGCATCTCACCTGCACGCTCATTAGCAATGCACTGGCTGGCAGGATGGTGAACTGCTGGTGGCAGTGGGGAGGGAACACKACACAGCACTGCTTTATTTTTTTATGATGCAACAGTATATGCCCCACAACTGCATTAATCAATTCTGAACTAAAACAAAATGCAGATTATAACCATCTTTCCCTGCCAACAAATCAGCTTCCAAACTATGCCACTAGAGTTTGAGAGGGAAGCTGGAAGAGTCCACTGCACTGTTCTTTTAGCAGCTGTAGTTGTCTCTTTCTTGCTTCATCTGTACTTGTTAAAAACATACCAATATACTCAATTACAACACTAACTATAACCTCTTTGGTCTGCTCGTGGTACAAAGACAACTTAGAACCTGGCAAAGTCTTTGTTCATTTATTCAGTTTAAACATCTCAAAGCCTGCCAAGCCATCCAGACAGTAAAACAAATCAGCATCTTCCAGTGCCTTCCTTTACAKTATGCAGAAAAATCCCCTTTACTGCAACTATTAAGCAAAAAGCACTTACTGAAATCTAAGTCAAGGCAAACAATCAGGTCAAGTATTATCACTGTATCAAGTTACAACTTTCTAYCTCCTCTCCATGCAAAACAAAAGTATTTTGGGAACCAAAAGTATTTTGGGTATTTTCACTTTCCTTTTCACACTTGACAACATAAACTGTTTTGCACTGACGTTTTAGATCAATTTAATAGCACATTTTATACCTAGCCACTTCCAATTTGTTGCAAGTTCTGAACTGTAAATTCTTTTTCAATATTGGCATTGCCCTAACTGAAGTTCCCCATGCACCACCTGTAACTTTCAAGACAGAACAATYCATAGTTTTATTAAATTTCATTTTCCAAACTTCAGCTGCACTGCAAACACTCTGGTTCAACAAAAAGATAGACAAGGCCTTCATTCCATCAGATATTTATTCCACATATTTTAAACATGCCTTCAAAATGGACAGGAACTAATTTGCCTCATCAAACCTGAACCCAAATGAACTGCTTTTCCCCCATCTCTGAGAAATACAAATTAAAAAAACATCCCTCCATCCAACAACATCCATCCTCCTCTAAGTTATGGARGCCAAGAGGTCCACACATTACAGGCGTGCTTACAACAAAAGAAACCATTCAACTGCCTAATAACTACAGGCATTTAACTTAGTACCTTCTTTAGTCAAAAGGATGCATTTCCTTTAGATAGCATTATMCTTTATTCAAAACAACTGGATTATAATGTGGCACACTTCTGCCTTTAGAACACAGAAATAAAACCACTCGGTCAAAGACAGCAGAAAATCATCTAGAGAGCAACATCTGTATCAACATGGGAAACCTACCCAAAGATCCATCACTACAGCCCAGGAAGGTCCTTACAAACTGAGCTGTTCAGCATCACTACTTTCACTTTATTTACCAGGAGCTGCCTTCCTAAGACTACTCAGAGCAAAATCTGGACAGAAGGTGGGGGTTAAACAGTTTGCATTAAACAGACATAAAATGCTATTAATTCTAATAACTAATAAAAATACAAAATACMACACCACTGCTAACACAACACTATATACCTCCTCTTAAATAGATTTGTTAAGTTCATTAGATCCATTAACTTAATGTATCATTAATGCTTTGTAACACAAGCTTTAACTTGGATATGAGCATCTTAAATGCAATTTCATCAGCACAGAGTAATAGGAACTACCTGACAAGTTYAAGACCCTCACTTTAACTGGGTTTCAGAAAAAAAAGGCCTTGAGCAAACAGGATTGGAAAAAGTTTTCTCCTCTGCCCTGGCAAGACGAAGATTATTAAGCAGGGGATTTATAGTGTTCAGCCTTAATTACAGACAGCAATATGAGATAAAAAGCTACCTCTTGATCCATAAACCCGAGTGCCACTTGGGACACTGTGGCACAGGGCCCCTCCCAGCTGGCAGCGCAGGGCACTCACCTGCTGCACACACACCCTGTTAGAGCTCACTGGCAGTGCAGGGCACTCTCCTGCTGCACACACACCCTGTTAGAGCTCACTGGCAGTGCAGGGCACTCTCCTGCTGCACACACACCCTGTTAGAGCCCAGCTCAGAGCAGCTGGGAGGGACAAAGCAGCCGAGCCGCCCTCTCTCACATCCCGGCCTCCCAAAGCCTGCACTTGTGCCACCTGTTACTGTCCTATCCTCCCGGCCCCTTTGGGTCCTCCCTACTGATCCACCCCACAGCTGGCTTAGAGACTTTTCTCAAGATGKGGCAGACCACCCCCATCCTTATCARGTCTCGTCCTAAGCATCCATATTCAAGAGACCTCAGAAAAGCTGAAAAAAAGCAGTAGAAAACTTACTTCAGACTCAAAAAATAGGAAGCTAATTCAYGCAACTGTCACATGTTAAAATTTGGACTTCCCCTGCCCCCAAGACCTTAAGGGCTATCAATTTGTTTCTGCCCACTACAGAAAGGAAAAAAATAACACAGGAYTTTATGAGAAAACATTTAGTTAAGTGCTAAACTGAACAAACCACTATGCAGTTTCTCTCCATTTGTCTTCTGTATTACCTCACTCCGTTCAAGACCCTACTGTCATTTTCTTTAAAAAGTCCCTATCCTGCCACCAGCCCTGCCAAGAAATTGCTTTCTGTCAGGCCACAATGACTTGGAAGTAGTTCTCAACAAAAAACACCCAGACTTTAGGCAACCAGGTATGCAGTCGGCTAACCCCTGACACCATCCTCACACCCCAAGCACCAAATACTGCATTCTAAATATTGAATACCACTTTTCTATGAAAATCGTTTCTAAACAACAATGAAAATACAAGTGCCACCTATATGTTCCTACTCCAATTAGTAATATTATCTGCATGCATTTGTTAAAACCACATCTTAAATCTCCACCCAGAAACACACATAATCAGTAAAAGTTTACAAGTATATTTATGAATAAACTATATACTTACACATAGTCTAAGCAACACGCAGACGAATTTAACAGTTGAATTATTCTACCCACAACATCCAGAATAGCRTGTTTTAATTATSCAGTAACTMTGAAATATACAGCACTAGCACTGAKCTSAATGACCTGGGAAGTGAATTACACTTCACACATGACATCAGTCACCAGCTCTGGGAAATGAACACCACACTGTTTCACACACACAGAGCAAAACTCAAAAATGGCTGTTTTGATGGTGTCCCATGCCAGTACCCAGTAAAGCAGTAAAGCTAAGAAAGTCCAGCCAATCCTATGGCTACAAAAATTCACACAACTGTTCCTTCGGTCCCAGCGGAGGTCCGACGACACAAAGTGCAAGTTCACCACAACAAGCACMAGTCGAGCACCCCGCAGCGAGGGCAGGCTCTACAGCAAAAGCTGCCAGCACTGCACTTCCACTCGTGACCGTGATACCAATCTGCTGCCTTACACCAAGGAAAATAATGATTTTTATTTCACCTTTTTTTTTTTTCTTTCAGAGTAGCTGGCAAAAGCCCGACACAGGCTGTCTTAGGCGCCGGTGACACCTCATCCCGCCTCA